GTGAAAGGGTGAAAAAGTACAATATGCCAACAGCAGGTGTTGTATTGCCATTCCAATATTACAAAATAATCCAGGCAGAAATAGAAAAATTCTATCTAAACGGTATTCAAAATTGTGCGCCCCAACTGCACAACTCACGACCCATAAAAAGGGGTTTCGGTCGTAAAAAAATATATAATTCAGAAAATAAATAACTCTTGTCTCGTCGAGCAGACCAGTTGCAATTGGGCGTTGACGACGGCCATGCAAAAAGAGTCGAAGCAGACGGCTCGAAGGAGAGGACTGACTTACGTCGGCAGGGCACAACGGTGCGGTACACTCAACACAGACAAGGGTCGCATGTTTGTTCGCTAGTCGGAAAGGGGATAAACGGGGATGAAGCGCGAAATGGGCAAATGAAAGAAGTCACGAAATCCCCATCCCTCAGCCCCTTTCCCGCGCGAAAACAGGTCAACATGTGCAAGTGGGCCTGCCAAGCGGCGTCCGACCGTGGGGCGGGGTCACCTCTGGTTCCGGTTGATTGACCGCCACCAGTCGGCCGGGCTTCTGGCCGTCGCCGGCCTCGTCAATCTGCTTCTTCCGGCAGCAGGGAAGGCGTCGTTCACGCACCGATTTGACGAGAAGAGCCAGGTAGAGCGGAATCGGTGTGAAGATGGCAACCATGATGGGCATGATGGAGCCGAGGTCACCGTCCGGTTGCGGCATGGTGTAGTTGAGCACGAGCATTGCGATGAGAATGTTCTGGATGCCGGCCTCAATCGAGATGGTGAGGATGCGCGGCCAGTCCTGGCAGCAGAGCCAAGCCAGCAGACCGGAAAAGAGGAAGCCACACCAGGGCAGACCACAGCCGAGTGGGATGAGGATGGGATACTGGCCAATCATTCGATAGATGGGCAGATTGACGTACGTGGCAAAGCAGAGGATGACCAAGAGAAAGACCAGCGCCAGAGGACAGGTGAGCCGACGGATGATTGCCGCCCATTTGGGCCGGAAGTGGGACAAGAGGAGGCCGGCGATTACGGGAATGACCACCTGAAGTAGTTGGAGCGCGATGGCGCCGTACGGAATGACCACGCTCGAGGTGTCGATGAAGAATCGGCCCAAGGTGAAAAGCAGAAGCGGCATCATGCCTGAGCACAGAGGGTTGTGTTTCGAGAAAGCGTTTGCCGATCATTTTTGGGCTTCATTTCATTTCGAGGATTGCTGCGACACAGACGGACTCGTTCTGACATGGGATATTGCGCTTCGGCATATACATATGTATATGTATGTATGTATAGGTATATGTATGTATGTATATGTTTATACATATGTATATGTATGTATGTATGTATATGTTTATACATATGTATATGTATGTATGTATATGTTTATACATA